AGAGCTCTGTCCCTCAAGTGGCCAGGCCTACATGGCATATTACCACAGTTACATGGACGTGCAGCCTCTAAAGGATGAGATCACACAGGCTGCACGCAGGTGTAGCTTAATATTACATTGTATCCAACATTATATCCAAGCTCCTTATCATGGTACAGTCAGGTGCCTCAATGGGTGAGAACCGAGGCTTATCATGGTACAGTCAGGCGCCTCAAAGGGTTAGAACCGAGGATCTTGGCCTTCTCACACTTCTGTTCTCAGCTGCTGTTTTGCTGTAGACACTGCATCTGGTTATTCAAATCTGCTTAAACAAGCACATTGGTTATTCATTCCCACACAATGAAAGTTCATAATGTTCTGATTGAGAGTACATAATGTTCTGATAACAAGAGGTTTAACATGATAGATACGAAAAGAACATGGAGTACAGGCGTCATCCATTTAATATGATAACCTATGTACAGTGATTCCAACAGTAACACATGATGAAAGTTTATAAACAAACTTTTAGATGATGTTTTGTGATTGGTGGCTACTCCTGACGCATGGACCTCACTTCCCCCTGCTTCATTTCCCTTCTACCCACCTACACTCCTTTCTGATTGGGTTGGTTCTACAGGACACACACCTTCTTATGCAGATCCAAACCCAAAACTGCTTAAAGTAACAATCAAACAGTGATATGGGGCAGCTGAAGTTAATGAGAGCAGCCTGCCTCTGTGTCGCTTGTATGTGCTAATAATAGATACTTGTTGCCCAAGATGCTCATTTCTATACCTGTCCACAGCTCAGACTTCTAGATGTGCATTATATCCTGTTTTCACTGTAATGTGTTGCTTGATATGTATTCTGATGCACTGATCTAATTCTGTGACTATGTTTTACTCAGAATGGTCAATGTTGATGTTTTTCTGAATAAGACAGATTACATGAGCTTTTAAGTCTTTTTAAAGAAAAATATGGCTTGTGTATGCATCAACTAATTTCCATTTCTCTGTTTGTTTACAGCTGGTGGGGGTAATGTTTCTGTAATATTTCTCTGTTTTACTGCAAACCTCCATCAAATTGAAATGTATTAACTGACTGCTTCTTTTTCTCCATCTAAGCAGACAGAGTCACAGCAGAGCACTAACGCTTGTCTTATTTTCTAACATTATTTCTGTGTGTTCCAGTAAAGCTCATCATTTAGGTTATTTGTATCTTTCGCCAGTTACTAAAAGTCTGTGATCTAATTTTTCAGCCCCTGTTTTCAGGTGAAATATGAGGTCCTTTAATCCAGAGAAGTTGTTTGTCTGTTGTTCCATCTGAGTGGAGTTTAAGTAAATCTAATGAGGCTGAGAGATTCTTATCTCAGTTAAACTCTGATATATTCCACCTCTTTTTCCTCTTTTTCAGGACTGAATGGATAATGATGTGAACATATCA